GGCCGGGGCGGGGAGAGCGGAGCGGAGCCGTGGCCGGGCGGGGAGCGCGGCGGAGTCCCCGGTGTCGGTGGGAGCGGAGCGGTGGCGGGATGGGAGCGGGGCCGGGCGGGGCGCTGCGGGCAGCCCTGGCGCTGGGGCTGCTGGCGGCCGCTCAGCCCGCACCGCCCGCCCGGCGGCAGGCGGAGGTAGGAGCGGGGAACGGCAACGGGAACGGGAACGGGGGGGCTGGGGATGTGTGTGTGTGGAAGCCGGGAGCTGCCACCCGCCGGCCGGCAACCGGCCGTTCCGGGGTGTGAGTGACCCGGGTGGGACCGTGCTATGGGGGGGGTGTGCCATAGGTGTGCGTGTGCCATGGGTGGCCGTGTGGCATACAGGGGTGTCCATGCCATAGGGATGTGCCCATACGAGAGGGTTGCCCGTGCCATAGGTGTGCCAGTGCTATAGGTGCCCGTGTGCCTTAGGTGGCCGTGTGGCATACAGGGGTGTCCGTGCCTGTCCATGCCGTAGGGATGTGCTCATACAAGAGGGTTGCCTGTGCCATAGGTGTGACTGTACTATAGGTGCCTGTGTGCCATAGATGCCCTTGTGCCATAGAGGGGTGTCCATGCCATAGGGATGTGCCCACACTAAAGAGTTGCTTGTGCCGTGGGTGTGCATGTGCTATAGGTGTGCCCATGCCATAGGTGCCTGTGTGCCATAGAGGGGTGTCCATGCCATAGGGATGTGCCCACACTAGAGGGTTGCCCATGCTGTAGGTGTGTGTGTGCTATAGGTGTGCCCATGCCATAGGTATGGGTGTGCCTTAGGTGTCCATGTGCCATAGAGGGGTGCCCATACCATAGAGGGGTGTCCATGCAATAGGATGTGCCCACACTAGAGGGCTGCCCGTGCTGTAAGTGTGTGTGTGCTATAGGTGTGCCCATACCATAGGTATGTGTGTGCTATAGGTGTCCCTATGCTATAGGTGCCTGTGTGCCATAGGTGCCCATGTGCCATAGAGGGGTGTCCATGCCATAGGGATGTGCCCACACTAGAGGGTTGCCTGTGCCATAGGTGTGTGTGCATGCTATAGATGTGCCTGTGCCGTGTGTGTGCCCATGCCATAGGTGTTTCCATGCCCTCGGCGTGTGTGTGTGTGCCATAGGTGGGCCTGTGCCATAGGTGTGCATGTGCTGTGTGTGTGCCCATGCCTTAGGTGTGTCCACACTGTCAGTGTGTGTGCCATAGGTGTGCCCATGCTGTGTGTGTGCCCGTGCCCTAGGTGTGTCCATGCCCTCGGTGTGTGTGTGCACACTATAGTTGTGCCTGTGCTGTGTGTGTGTCTGTGCCATGGGTGTGCCCATGCCATGGGGGTGCCTATGCCATAGGTGTACATGTACCATAGGTACCCATGCCATAGGGAGGTGTGTGTGCCATAGGTGTACATGTGCCATGTGTGTGCCTGTGCTATAGGTGTGCCCATGGTACAGGTGTGCCTGTCCTGTAGGTGCCAATGCCATAGGGGGATGTGTGTGCTGGAGGTGCCCGTGCCTTAGGGGTGTGCCTGTGCCACAGGTGCCTATGCCAGACCCACATGCCATAGGTGTGTGCACACTGTAGGTGTGTGCATTCGTCCCCAAGGTATGTTCACACGTAGGTGTGTGCCCATGAGTGCCCAACACATGTGCATCCCCGCCATGTGCCATGGATGCCCAGGGTCCGTGCCAGAGGGGTGTGTGTACATGGCACAGGCACACGGCCATGCCAGCTGGAGAAGCTGTGGCTGCCCCATCTCTGGAGGGGTTCAAGGCCAGGTTGGATGGGACTTTGAGCAACCTGCTCTGGTGGGAGGTGTCCCTGCCCAGGGAACTGCACGATCTTCAAGGTCCCTTCCAACCCAAACCACTCTATGATGGGTGTGGTTGGAGTGCCAAGGTGGGTGCCCACACGTGCTGTATATGGAAGCGTGTCCCTATGGGTGATGTACATCTGCAAATCCCCCCCTTCCATATAGCTCTAACAGCAGCAGGACTTGTCCTGGGAAACCTTCCCATCTCTCGACAAATTGGGATGGGACAAAAGCCTGTCTTTGCCCTGCCCCACCTCTCCCCAGGGCTGTCCCCATCTCCTCTGTTGGGATTTCTTCTGTTTGTCCCCGTGTGGTTGTCACACCACGCTGCCATCCGCTCCTGTTTGGTTTGGGAGGACAAGGTATGAGATTTGGCTGGAGAACAAAGGTTCGTGTTGGGGATATATTTATTTTTTTCTTATTTAGGCATTGATCCAGTGTACGTTTGCACAGATGCGTGATTTTAAAACCCCAGCAAGTCCCGGTGGATTAATTGGGATTTTTCACATGCTCTAAGATGAAAATTGCAGATAAGTGCTGGGAGGCTTGTTTTGATGTGCAGGATTCTTCTGCTGGGAGATGCTGTTTCAAAGAGGTGGTTTCTGTCTCTGCTTGTCCCAGTGTGCACAAACCTCAGTCTGGCTGAGCTGGAGAAAAATAAATCTGCAAAGTTCTTAATGCTCAGAAAGCAAATAGTTTAAAATTCGCTTTTAAAGGAAAACCAATTTATTGTCAGTGAGAGCTTTAAAAGGGTCAGTCTGACTTTTGATTCCACACTGGTGATTTCTGAGAACTTTTCCATTGGATCCTCAGAGCAGGTCCCAGATAGTGGCAGATCCTGGGTGAGGGACACCAGGCAAGGGACTTTCCTGTTTCCCTGCCTCAGTTTCCCCAGCACGATGTGCTGCGCTGGCCAGGGAATTTGGGACAATATGGATGATGGGAATGTATAGAGAGAGGGGTAAGAAAGCTTGTCTAAATAAACTGAGCCGTTAATTCTGCTTTTAAGAGGAAGCTGAAATTCTCACGTAACATCAAATAGTTCTAGTTACTTGTGGCTTTCAGACCACTGCCAGGCTTTGCTTCGAAAGCTTTTTTTATTGCTTTTAAAATAGCCAAAGCTAGCAACAATGGGTTGTGTAAACTTAGATGCAAAGCTCTGAAAAAAAAAAAATTATCCAGTTGTTATTTTCCTGGCTTGTGCCCTTGTTTTCGCTGTATCTGTATCAATTTCAGCTCCATAAAAAAAAAAAAAAAAAAAGAAGAAGAAAAGGTTGGAAATTTAATTTGAACCATTTGTACATTAAATCATCTCATTATCTGCAGGCTCTAGAAAGAAGGTCCAGTGCTAGAGAGCACGTAGTTTGGCAGACCTGGTTTCTGTGCTGGGCTCAGGAGGGTGGTTGGGGTGTGTGGTGCTGCCCGAGTCTCCCTCATCCCGGGGGGAATTGTGTAAAATGTGTGGCACAGGAGACCTCACCCCACACTGGGAGTGAAGAGTGTGGCCGAGAGCTGTTGGTGCCAGGGACAAAGGACAATAAAGTCCCTGTGGTGATTTGGGTGAGAAGTTACAGGTCTGCTGCGACGGGAAGAAAAATTGGGTAGAAATTTGAGAAAAGCAGGGAATAGAAATGGAGAGCGAGACTAAGGGACCGAGACATTCTCGTTTTGGAATTTTTAATTATTTTTTTTCCTATCCTGCTGCCCTTCTCCCTCTCTTGCAGTGGCCTTTGACTTTTTCCCCCTTGGAAACCCAAGGGCTCACTATAGTGTAGTCTCTGAGCTGGACTTGTGCTGAGAAACACTCCGGTTTCGGGATGAACTCCTTTAGGGAGCAGGCAGCCGGTTGGGATGCTGGATGCTGAGCTCAGCCTGGCCAGAGTGAGGGTCTCCGGGTACCACCCAGCACGTGGTGGGGCTTGGGGGTCAGCTGGGACCCCTGGGTGCTCCTAGGGTACCCCCACATTTTCCCTCGGATTGGAGTAAGAGGAAAAAACTTTCATCCTGGGAAAAAATCCTGCTGTTCAGCCTCAGCAAGGAGTTCAGGAGAGGAGGAGGGGTTGATTGCTCAGGTGCTGGAGGCATTGCTGGGCTCTGCGTGGCTGGGGCAAGCGTGGAAATGCCACCACATCACCTCTCCTGCAGATAGCAGGGAGGTGACCAGCAGTTCCAAGGCACCCCGTCGGGTCCCCGGTGTGATGCACAGCCCCATGAGTCACCGCAGAGTGAACAGCCCTGCTTTCTTCCCAGCTCTCCCCCCCGGAACAATCCCCCCTTGTTACCGGGAATAACGCCCGCCAGGCAGTGGGCTCCTTGCCTTCCCCCCCTCCACCCCCCCAGCTCCCATCCCCACGGAGGGCGAAGACCAAGCCTCTTGTTTCCTTTCTCTCCCCAGACATGAAAGCACAACCAGTCTGCGTGACCAAACTGGTTTGTCAGCTGCTCTGGTATTCGCAGGGGAAAGGTTTGGCCAAGCCCAGTGTTTTTCCCTATTTTCCCCCAAGTGCTTTGGGTCTCGTTGGGATACTTTCGGTGTCACCAGCCTGTTGTCCCCCCCACATCGCGTGGGGTGCCCGGGCAAAGCCCTGAGACCTGGGTTCAAATGCAGGAGTGAATCACCGGACTTGCTGATGAGATATTCCTGCATTTAACACAGCAGCAGAGCCAGGTAACGCCAAGCCCAGCGCGTTTCTTGGCGTTTATTTCCTTTCAAGTGATGCAATATTTACTGTTCCTGTCCCGTAGCATCCCTCCTGCCCACGCAGACAGGGAAGCAGGGAGCTGGTTCCAGTTCAACACCCGAAAATCTGGGTTACTGACCCCAGGAGGGGTTTTAGTTAGACCTGCTGCAGCCCTGGCCTGCTTCTCAGCTCCAGAAGATCAACAGCGAAAATTAAAGGAGCTTAAAAGACATATTTCCCCAGCTCCACGTCTTCAGTGTAGAGTAGACAATTTGCTGCTAAAGCAGATTTTCAGGAGGGGTGGGTGGGAGAGGAGATTCCTTCGGGACCAGATTAGGCACAGCGGGGGAGCATCATGGCGATGAGAGGGGGCTTGGGGTTTTAATCAGCCCCCATCATTAACATACAGAATTAGCTGGTGTTTCTCTGTCTTTTCAGCAGGAGGGCGGCCGAGCTCTGTACTCGCTAATCTCCCTTCTTGTGTGTCTCTGTATGTCCCTGAATATAATATTTATACAGATACTTATACACACTTAAACAGAAGAGACGCGGGGACTCTGCCGAAGGGTTTGCGACTGGTGTTTGCAGGAACGTGGCTTGGGAGAGGGGAAAGAAAGGAATGTTTTTAAAAGTCTGGACACCTTCTGCGGGCGGCAGCCTGATGGGCAGGAGGAGCTGTGCCAAACCGTGATTTGGGGGGGGAAACAGGCTGAAAAGCCAGAGCTGTGGCTTTCCCTTTGTCTGTCTCGGCAGTGAAATGATGCGGGATGGAGCCTGGTGAGGGGTCTGGAGCACAAGTCTTACGAGGAGAGGCTGAGGGAGCTGGGGTTGTTCAGTCTGGGGAAGAGGAGACTGAGGGGAGACCTTATCGCTCTGTACAAGTACCTGAAAGGAAGCTGTAGAGAGGCAGGGGTCGGTCTCTTCTGCCAAGCTACAGACGATAGGACAAGGGGTAATGGCTTCAAGTTGCGCCAGGGGAAGTTCAGGTTGGATATTAGGAAACATTTCTTTACTGAAAGGGTTGTCAGGCATTGGAATGGGCTGCCCAGGGAGGGGGTGGAGTCACCATCCCTGGAGGTAGTTAAGAAACGTGTAGACATGGCTCTTCAGGGCATGCTCTAGTGCCCAAGATTATTGGTTTGTGGTGGGATGTTGTGTGGGTGGGTGATGGTTTTGGTTTGGTTGTTGTTGTTGTGTGTTTAGGTGGTGTTTTTTTGCTTTGGTTTGGTTTTTGGGTTTTTTTTTTTTGGTGGTTGGCCTCGATGACCTCTGGGGGCCCTTCCAACCACTACGATTCTGTGATTCTGGGGCTGAGGACCTGCCTGGGCTGGCTCGCTGGGCTGCTGTTGTCTCCTGCTTAAAAAGAAAAGACTTTTGCATCCTCCGTAAGCTCAGCACGGACCGGCTGCCCGCCCGTCGGCAGGATGGGATCGCTCCCCTCCGCTGCCCGGGGCCGGGGGGATGGAGGAGAGAGATGGGGCTCGTGTTCTGGCAGAGCAGAAGGGACCACAGTCAAGGGAGGCCAGACATGAGGTTTCTCTGATGCTTAGCTGGTGGAAAGGTGCCAGAAGCTGAGCGTCTGGAGGGGAGGGCAGGCGGGACCGGAGCCTGCTGTCTCCGCGCTCTTGTTATCCCCGTTTCCAGGGAGGGAGGTCTAATTGTATTTACTGTTGGCCGCCTTCCACCTGGGATGCCTGTGGTCGAGGGCAAGGTGTTTCCTTGCTTTAGCTCCCGGCTCAGACGATTTCTAGGGTTGTAACCAGCTCCCCATCAGAGCCCTGAGATGGGGAGGGCCCCCTTGGTCTCCCCCAGACCCTCCTCCCGCTGTCCCTGCTGGCAACCAGACCTTTCTTCTTCTCCCTCCCTCCTGTGGAGGGGGAGCCCGGGCATATTTTATCTTTATGCTTAGCTCTTGGTTTCCTGCTGTTTTTCTTTTCCCATTGTAAGGAAAAGAGCATTTCCCCATCTGGGGCAGGAGGGAGGGGGGTTTCTCAGCACGGCCAGGCTTTGCATTGCAGTCTCCAGAGAGGTTTATCGGGTTGGTGCCAGCTTCCACCCAGCCCTACCAGAGCCTGGCTGGTCTCTGGGGGGTTGTGCAGGGACGGGGAAGGTCTTGAGTGTGGGTTTGGGCACAGAACACCGTGGTGCAGTGCTCTTGGGTTCCCCCATCACCCTGAAAAGTCCCTGGTCCAGAGGACTTTAAGTGCTCTCTGATAAATACCTTGCACAGTGGAGGATGAGCACATCCCTCTCCTGTAGCTCTGTGTTTCCAGGACCAGCATCACCTGGAGCTCACAGTAACTGTGTCTAGAGAACATCATAAAATTTCTCCTGGTGGTTTTGCACCCTGGGTGTGAGAACCTCAATGTGACATGGGCCAGAAACTGCAGGAAAACTGCCGCTTTGGTTGGACTTGCAAAGCTCAAGGAGATCTGGAGAGGAATAATAAAGCCAGTGGCCTGTGTGTGTTTTGGTGCCATTTCAGAGCAGCTGCTGTGGTCACGGCTGCTGTTTTGCCTTGCAATGGACTTGTCCAGATGGGGTTTCAAGCCTTTGTGAGCTCATGGTGGGGAAAAACCATTTTCATGCTCTAAGAGTGGGATTGTGTTTGGTTACAGGAGGGGGAACAGCTTCCAGTTGTTACGATTTAGGTGCTAAGTAAGAGAAAAATTGCAGTAGAAAAGGTTTAGAGTGTGCCAGGCTTTTGAGACCCGGGACTTTCTGTCCGGGTGCTTTGCAGCTCACATTTATCTGTGGTGATGTAACCGCTGGTGATTATCGCCCCGCGTCCATATATGTAGCTGGTGATTTTCTAATTCTGGAGGAGAACATTATAAAAACACAACAACTGAGAAAGAGAGCCAGATGCCTTCTCCTCTCCAGACTGCTCTCTCAGGGCTCCCAAACCTCCCTGCTTCCCCTGTCCCCATATCCTCCTTCCCTGCATGACCATCCCGAGTCGCTGCTGTATTTTGCCTATTGGTACCCCCATAAAGGGGAAGTTATCCCTGTGGGGCCAGGGAGGTGGCATGTCCAGGCTGTACGGTCCATCCTGGGGCAGAGATGTGGTGGTTTTTCCCAGCAGACAAGCCCATGCTCTCTCCTGCCAGCACAGCTCTTACTCACACCTGATTTAATCTTGACTCACCGGGACCAGGTGCATCAGGATATCCTGACTCACCGAGTCGGGGTGACTCCAGCCACACTTGGGCTTCTGCTGCTGCAGCCTGATGCTGCTACAAGACACCGCCACCTCCAGCCCAGGTGGGCAGCTGGGAAACGTGTTTGGTGGGAAACACAGCCAAATTTTTGGGCTGTGGCTGGGGGAGGAGCGTGTCTCGGCAGGAAGCTGTGCTGGAGGTGGAGGGAGATCCTCCAGGTAGAAAGGGTGTAAAAGAGGAGATCAGACGTGGAAACTGGAGGAGGTGTCTGGGAAAGGGGGGTAGGGAAGGCTTGGAAAGGGGCAAGCAACAGGCAGAGAGAGCACGTGGAAGGTGCCTGCCCTGCCCACAGGAGGTGGCGGGCGCGGGGGTTGACGTGTTTGGGGATGACGTGAAGATGACTGGTACCAGCAAGCGGAGAGTTTGGGCAGGAGGAGGAGAGGGAGAGGCCCTGGCACACCCTGAGGCTGCCATTCCCAGAAATCATTCCCCAGCCTTGCCAGGCGACTGACAAAGTGCAGCAGGCGGGATGCTGCGGGTGCCCAGGGAGGGGGGCTGCCGTGGGGCTCTGGGGGGCTGGTGTCTGGGGTATGTCAGCATCAAGCGCAGGTTAATTCCAACTCCCTTCTTCTCCCTGCCCTGAGATGAGCAAGGAGGGAAGAGGATTTCAAAGCACTTTAAAAACACTTTAAAAAGTTTTTCCGGCCGGCAGTTGTCCCGGGGCAGCCCGTGGCATTCCTGGTGCTCAGCCCACCTCTCCTTTGGGATGCGGGAAACCGAAGCAGCCGCTTTCACTTTTTATTCCTCGTGACTTTTAACTCCAATTCTCCTGCACTAACAGGATGCTGGGCGGCTTGTTTGTCTCCTGCAGACGTCCCCGGCGGCAGGGAAGGCGGGTGTGGAGCATTCCTAACTTCTCCAAAAGCTGCGGGCGCAGGCTGGGCAGAGGGAAGCCGTTTATTTTCTTTAACGTGCACTTTATGTGCTGGAGCAAGTTCAGAGCGACAATCTCTGGCCATGGAAATGGCTGATAAGAAGAAGAATGGTTTGGCAGAGCAGATTGCCCCCGGACTGTGTCTCCGCATCGCAGCAGCACATCCTGCGTGGGGATGGGGAGAGGCTGCAGCCTGACCCCATCTCACCCCACCCTCCTCGTATCCCCAGCTCTTAAGCTTTGTTTTAATTATTGTGTTGAGCCGAGGTGATTAGAGTGTGGGTTTGGTAGCCTCTGGCTGCGGATGACATGGCAGCAGCGGGTTTTTTTGATCTGTTGATAGCAACGTTTCCTCCTACGCCTCCACCATCTCATGGCCAAAACCCCAAGAGCCATCAAAAAGGGTGGGGAGGAGACATAAACCTGTGTGAGCGCAGGAGGGGAGGCTGCTTGGGGTGTAGAGACGGCAGGAAAAAAACCAAAAACTGAGCATTTCTGCACATCCCTGGGTTTGCAGTGCTGTTTCCCCTTGCCTTTCAGTTTTCCCCCCCATCTCCCAAGCCCACGTGTGGGAATGCCTCTCCGTGCTCTGAGCTGTCCCTCTCCCATGTCTCTTCTTGCAGCTGTTCCTGGAGAAATACGGATACTTTGGGGAGCCGGGGGCCGGCGCGCACAGCCCTGCTGAGTTCAGGGAGGCGGTGAGGTATGAGCCTTTTATTTAAAACCACAGCAGAAATGCAGCAACTCCGGCTGCACGGGAGCTGCCGGTGCCTGGGGGGCTTTTTTGCAACTGGGAGAGGTCTTTTTGCAGCTGGAGGGGTCTTTTTGCAGCCAGGGGGTCTCTCTCGCATGGTCTGATGATAAAGCACAACTGGTCCTTTTTGGAAAGGCCGGTCCATACCAAGCTCCCACAGCTGGGTGCCGGCTGCTGGCAGCCCAAGTTCTCCCTGCGCTGCTTTATTTGCCTTTTATGGCCCGGAGCTCCCCTTACAATAATATCTGCGGCGAGGCCGAGGGTGGGGAGGGCTGGGAGATGTCAGGGGGCCAAGCTGACAGCCCCCCCCCCCGCCTCAGACTTCTCCTAATGAGATCACATTGGCTCTGGGAGCATCCCTGGCCCGACCCTGAGCAAAGTCAAGTGCAAAGTCAAACAACTTGGGTTAAAAACTGGAAAAGGCATTTTTTTATGTGTCTAATTTTGCCCTGCCAGGGGATGCCTCGCTGGCCAGATGTGGTTGCAGAGGCAACTCCTTGCTTCATGTCCCCCCACCGGGAATGCATCCTGGTGCTAAAGCAAGGATTTGCCTCTGCTGGGGTCGAACACCGGCACAAACATAACCGGGTCCGTGGGTGTGTGTGTGTGGTGATATCTCCCTTCCTTTTCCAGGGACTTCCAGCGGGTGACCCACCTCCCTCTCAGCGGGGTCCTGGATGCCCCCACGCTCCATCAGATGGCTCTGCCGCGGTGTGGCACGGGGGACGGGGAGAGCCGCGCTGCCGGGGCTCACCGGGCATCTGCCGCCCGGCGCCGCAGGCGCACCACGCAGCACGGTGAGCGCTGACGCCGGGGTTCCCGGGGGGGTTTTGGGGTGCTGGGAGTCCAGCTCTTCCATCCTGGCTCCTGGAGATGCTGCCATGGGCAGGAGGTGCAGCCCCACCGGCAGAGCATCCATCCCAGGGCTTGCCCGGGCTTTCACAGAATCATCTAGGCTGGAAGAGACCCTCGGGATCCTCGAGTCCAGCCATCCACCCTACTCTAAAGTTCTCCCCTACACCATATCCCCCAACACCACATCTAAACGGTTCTTAAACACATTCAGGGATGGTGACTCAACCACCTCCCTGGGCAGCCTATTCCAATGCCCGACCACTCTCTCTGTGAAGAATTGTTTCCTAATGTCCAGTCTAAACCTCCCCTGGTGCAACTTGAACCCATTACCCCTTGTCCTATCGTCTGTAACGAAGAGACCGACCCCCACCTCTCTACACCCTCCTTTCAGGGAGTTGTAGAGAGCAATAAGGTCTCCCCTCAGTCTCCTCTTCCCCAGACTGAACACCCCCAGCTCCCTCAGCCTTTCCTCATAAGACTTACTCTCCAGCGGCTTTGCACCACTTTATTTTTAAACCTCTTTATTTTTAGACCTCTTTATATTTAAACCTCTTTATTTTTAGTTGTTCTGTATTAGAGAGATGCGACTCCCACTCGTGGGGAAATTCATCCCTCCGGGGTGGTTTTACTGCTGTCGAGGGAGCCGGGACATCTCCCGAGGAGCGATCAGGTCACTGTGGCCCCAGGCACCAGCCGTGGTGGAACGATCCAGAGGGCAGGGGTTGGCATGCAGCGAGGTTCTGCTGAGCTTTGAGAATCTAACTGTGTTAGTCACCCAGCAAAAACCACTAAAACCTGCTGGTGCTGGGCTGCTGGGCTGCCTGGCCACCTACATTAAAAGGTTTAACTCCGCTCCGAGCGGCTTCTCTTGCTCTTGTGTATCCAGGATTGGGCCTCCCATCTCTCATGAGCTGCCTCCTGGGCTTGTGGATGAGTAACTGGATTCCTAGAGAGCAAGAGGGCTGTGACCAGCTGCGCTTAGGACATGGGAAAAATGAAGACTGAGATTAAGCAAGGGCTCTGTGCCGTGTCAGGCTGTCTCTGCATCTGGCAGGGCTGGCGATGGATGGCCCCAGGAGACAGCCCCATCCTCCTCCTCCTGCCTCTGGCTTTCCTTCTGAAACCCTGACACACAGCATCATCCCTGCAGGCACCATCCCGGTCAGAGGGTCTGCCGTGCCCCGGCCAGGAGGGCCATGAGGCAGAGCCAGGGAGGACATGCAGCAGGAGATGGGTGAACATGATGCAGGAGATGCCCTGCAGCTCATGGGGTTCCTTTCTGGGGTCATGGTTTGGAGCTGGGTGGCAAGAAACACCCAGTAGCTCTGAGCCCAGGCAGGGAAGGGCTCCGTGGGGTGCTGGTTATTGCCCTGGTGGTCTGGTGCTGGCAGATCCCCCGTGGCAGCTGGTGGCAGTGGGGTGGGAGTAATGCCATGTCGGTGCCAACAGGCTGGAGGGGAGGGAGGGGGTGCCCACAGGGCTGGCGGCACCGGCCAGGAAGGCTTTGTGCTAAGTTGGCTGTTTATCCTACTTGGAGCAGGAAGCCGCTGCAGCTGAGCCAGCAAAGGGCTTTGTTATCCACCCTGCTCCCAGCAGGATCTTCAGCAGGCGGCCACCATGTCCCACCAGCTTCGGGCAGCGCTTGCACCCCCAGCGTATGGGCAAAAGCCAACCCCAGTTGAGCCTTGGCTCCCAAACTGGTTAGCCCAGCAGTGGTGGCCAGTGCAGGGCTGGGGAGGGTGTCTGTCTGTCCTGTTGATCCCAGCCTTGGTTCCAGCCCAGTGGTGGAGGTTGGGGTCTCCGGAATGTCCACCCCTCTCTGCACCTCCAGACAAAACCTCCCCTCTGCAGTCGAAGCCCAAGACTTTCTGCTTTCTGGGAAGGTTTGGGGACAGGTCCTGCTTGCCTCTGGAAAGGGACTGGGTTTGGAAATCAGGGTCTGCAGTGGAGGGCACTTGGAAGAGGACTTTCTTCTAACTGCCTTGCTGGGCTTTACCAGGCACTGGAGCCGACCAGAACCTCTACTGACCAGGAGGTCCTCGGCCAGACAGTGTGTCGGGCAGTGATATCCTGGATTTCCCCTCAGGGAACTCCCTGCCTGCGATTGTCCTGGGCTCACTGGCTGTGTGTGGCACCCAGCCCTCCTCTTCCCGAGAGCCAGTTGACTTTTTCTTGCCCAGCTCTGCCCGCTGGTGCCATCCATTCTCCTCTGGTGGGAGATGCTCTGGCCAGAGCCTCCTGCTCCTACCTGATGGTGCCATCCATCCTCTTCCGATGGGGAGACGCTCTGCCTGGACCCCTCTGTCTACTGGTGCCATCCATCCTTCTCTGCTGAGAGATGCTCTGCCTCCATGGAGGGAAGGATGGGATGCTGGGGCTTTCCAGTGCCATGTCCCATTGGAGTTGGAGACTGTTGTTGCACTGATGAGCAATGGGGGCCGGTTCTGTCCTCGGGAGGGTTCCCAGCTGGTCCAGAGCCTCCCCTGCCATGGGCTGCTCAGAAATTGAGGGGAAGGAAGCAGAGCTGGTGCTTCTCCTCACAAGCACCAGCGAGGGGAAGCCTGTGGCTTGGGCTGGGTGAGCTGGGATGGGATGTCTGCCAGCTTTGCCAAGGGACTTGGCTCAGACCCACGACTGAGCCCCGTCGTGCTGCTGGCCCCGTTCCCCCTGTTTCCCTGCACATCTGGAGCAGGTCCGTCCCCTCTCCCACGCCTCGGCACCAGCTCTGGCACCCACATCTCCCAGCGTGGCCCCACGGCTTCTCTCCTGGTCCTGGAGACCCCCATCCAGATGTAATCGTGGGGCTCTGGGGTCCCTGCAGCCACTGGGAGTGCTGGAGGAGGAAAGGGGGCTGTGATGCTGCATGGGGAATGCAGGAACATGTATCTTTGCTTTGTGGGGAACTCAGGGGGACCTCACGGGCTTGTCCTCTTTGTCATTGTCACCATCTGCCCTGGTGGCACTGCAGCTGTGTCCCCCCTGAAAGGACAGGCTCGTGCTCCCTGGCCAGCTGGATGAAGCCGTGGACATCCGTGGGGTCTCTGGGCGTATGATGAAGATCAGCATCATGGTGGTTGGTGCCATTCCTTCCTGGTGATGCATTTCAAACCCAACTGCTTCTCCCCTTGAGGATCAGCTCTTTTTTCTCTTCTGGCTGGTGCCCAGCTCTTGGCAAATCTGCCTGTGCCAGGTGGCAATCCCACATCCCCAGCCCCACTGTCCTGTTGTGCTCCCAAGGTGCTGCTGAGAGCCCCTCCCACTCCTTTTGCTTCTGGGCCACTTTTTTTCGGAGGTGGCTTTGCTTTCTCTCCCTGAAAGCCAGTCCTTAGGCTGCATCTTCAGGAGACCTGCAGGTCAGGTACCTGTGCTGGATTTAGGCCTGGAGAGCAAGGCAAGGGGGGGTCAAACTGGGTGCCCCATCAAACAGGTTTTGGGGCCTCTCTTAGGGTTTGGTTGCAGCTCCAGCCTTGGGAATCTCTGGGGTGGGATCTGGTGGTGGCACCTTCAGAGGGATTTCATGGGTCCTGCTGCCAATGCAGGGTGCTGAGGCTGCTCATGGCATGCCCAGTTGGGCTTTCAGCTTCAGCTTGGGAAAGCTGTGGCTTTTCCCAGCACCGGGATGCCTTTCACCACCCAAGCAGCCCTCAGGTGGAAGGACAAGTCCGAGTCCCCATCGTCATGCTGAGCTTGCCTCTTTTGCAGGCGGGAGGTGGTACAAGCGGCACCTGACCTACCGGGTGGTGAACTGGCCCTCCTACCTGCCACAGCATGAGGTGCGTCTGGCTGTGAAAGCTGCCTTTGAGCTCTGGAGCAACGTGTCCTCACTGGTCTTTTGGGAAGCTCAGGATGGCCCAGCTGACATCCGCCTGACCTTCTTCCATGGGGACCACAACGATGGACTCAACAACGCCTTCGATGGACCAGGTGCTGGTCGCTTCCCCCTCGTAAGCTTCTCTTTTACAACGTGGGCTCTTCTCCGGCAGGGAGGAGGGCTGGGGTGGCGATGGGCTGGGGGTGATGGAGGTGAGGCTCTGCCCCGGCACCACCTCCCAGTTTGCACCAGTTTGCTCTCTGATTTGGGGTCCTCACTCCTGCTTCTGCAACTGGGGTCTGCCAGCGAGGTGGTTGAGATGCTTGTTCTAGGATCGTGTTGATGGCCTTTGAGGAGCTCTCCCCACCCTGTTGGCATCCTCCAAATCTGAATTCATTCCTTCCAGCTGAGGCTTTCTGCACGGTGCTATTGGACATGCTCAGGCTTTCTCTCTTCTCAAGCCTTTGCCTGGTGTGGGTCACTGCAGTGGCTTCGGTTCCTGGCTTGAGCCTGGGGCAAGAAACCAAACTCATAAACCACAGAGCAAACACACCCCCTCTGTGCTCAGGAGCAAAAGGCAGGACTGGTCTGGGTTACACCTGCTGTGGGAAGCTGCTGGTGTTTCTCAGGAGACCTCCTAAAGGGCTAAAATTGATGCATATTTAAGCAAACCAGAGCTGCACGTGCCCCTCACCCCTCAGCTTGCAGGTGGGGTCTTCTCCTGCCTCACAGTCCATGATGGCTCTCATGTCCCCAGGAGGTGCCCTGGCTCACGCCTTCTTCCCCCGGCGCGGAGAAGCCCATTTTGACAGCGCCGAGCGCTGGTCCCTGCACAGCGGCAAAGGATGCAACCTCTTCGTTGTGGTGGCACACGAGGTCGGCCACACACTAGGCCTGGAGCACTCCTCCGTCAAGAGCGCCCTGATGTCTCCCTACTACAAGAAGCTCAGCAAGGATTTTGTCCTCAGCTGGGATGACATCTTGGCCGTCCAGAACTTGTACGGTGAGCCTGGCTTCCCTGGGCATCCCTCGGTTCCTCTGGGGCTGTTCCCTGGGATGGAGAATGAGGAGCAGGGATGGGAGCAGGTCCCTGCAAGGGGAGAGGACTACGTGGAAGGGGCATGGTGGGGATGGACCCCATACCTTTGTGGCTGGGGAGGAAGATGCCATAGGGTGTGTGGGAGGGGTACCAGGTACTCCAGGGCAGGGGAGGCTGGACTTGCTGTCTGCTTGTTTGCCACCAAGGAAAGGCTGGTGCATGTGTTTTGGGGGTACCAAGGGGCCTTTGCCCCACCTTGTAGAGGAGGACAGGAACCAGACAGTGGGACAAGGAGTGTTTGGTGCTGTGGGACAGATCCTCAGCCCTGTGCTCACACAGTGTTCTGGAGAAAGCCATTTCCCTGCCTCTTCATGACTCACCACTCCTTGCTCCATCCCAGGGAAGCCCTCCAAGGGCTTGGCCATCCAGCTCCCGGGAAAGGTCTTCACTCACTTCCAGGACTGGAGCGTGGACCTTTACGGTGGGGACCAGCAGCGGAGGAGCCTCAGTGCCTATTACTGCCACTCCTTCTTCGACGCCATAACTGCTGGTGGGTGTTTTCTGGTGGAACCCTGTCTCGAAACACATACCCTCACCCCTTGCCCCACCGCTGCAGCAGCCCGTCTCTGCTCTGATAAGCTTCAGTGGTGGGAAAGGTGGATTTGGCTGGTCCACAGCCCCATATGTGCTCCAGAGGCTGGTGGCATCACTGATGCACATCACTGTGGCAGAGTGGAGCATCCTGAGGACACAGGGATGGCTTGGTGTGTTGGGAGACATCCTAAAACTTGGGCTGTGGCAAGGCTTATTTGCTGCAGGGACTCAACCATGAAAGATGAGCCTTGGGAGGGAGCTGTGGTTGACTGTTATCCTCTCCGGGCTGGAGTGGAAGCAATGAATTATGAAAGTTGAGGGGGTGGCTGAAAAGCAGAAGGGAGTATCCAAGACCTGAGCATCCCTGAAGTACCGCAGATCTGCACGGGGAGAAGAAGGGAATTGGGGAGCGGTGGCTGGGAGGTGGGATGAGGTTTCTCACCCAGGACCCCCCTGACTCCTCCGTCTGCCCCGCAGACGCGGATCACAACCTCTACATCTTCAAGGGCAACCACTACTGGGTGGTGCCAGCGAGTGGCAACGCCAGCGACCCGCAGCCCCTGCAGCCACGCTGGCCCGGCCTCCCCGCCGGCATCGACGCCTGCGCCTGGTCCCAGCTCAGTGGCAAGTTCTACTTCTTCAAAGGTAGGTGAGGAACAGGCAGGAGAACTCCCTTCAGGGCTGCCTGTGGTCTGGATGGACCACCCTCTCCTGCCCATGTCTCCTGTCCCCTCCCGTGTCCCATCCCAGTGCAGAGCTGGGGCATCACTGGGTCCCAGCTGTGCAAACACCCCCAGGAGCCCTGGACATGGTGCCTGCTGTGGATTAAATGTATGGCTTTGGGTATATCACCCCGACAGCCCACGTCACCCCCTCGTGCCTCAGTTTCCCTACTCAGGGGGGGTCCAGTGCTCACCTGTGTTTGAAAATAAAATTAGATGCATCCAACTCTTTGGGGGCTCAGGGAGGAAGCGCTCCCTGAAGACGCGCGGCCACAGGGGAGGGAGGTGAGGGTGGTGTTTTCATGGTACACGTGGTTCCCTGCACCCTGAGCCACCACGGGGAGCTGAAATGCCATCTGCCAGCTGCCCGGGGACACGCCAAGGCTGGACGGGGAGAGGAAGGTCAAACCAGGCAGCCGGGCTGCCAGGGTCAGCCCTGACTTTTAATGGGAACCAGTTGCTGGCTGGTCAGAAAGGGGGGCTTTGTTGCTGCTGCTGGGCGAGAGCCAGAAGCCCCTCTCCCTCCCCAGCCCTCGGCTGCTCCCTCCCTCCCCGGGGCTGGGTCAGGCCAGGGCTTGGGAGCAGAAAGGGGCTTTTGTCTGCCTGTTTCGTGGGGACAGTGACGTGGCTCTGTGGGGACAGCCGAGCACTCGGCCCCGATGGCAATTCCTGCGGCGGCAGTGCCGGTCCCGCTTGTCCCAGCCCTGGAGGAGGCTCCATCTGGGTCCATCTGTCCCTCTCGCCGTGCAGGGACAGGGGGGGAGGATTTGCAAGGAAGCAGCGTGGTGGCCCTGTTCTGTCCTGGGTGGTCCCTTTCTGTGCTCTGAGCTACTGCGCCTCAGTTTCCCCCCCAACCTTGTCCACGGACCAGCCCTGTGGTGGTACTGGTTGGGTCACCAGTGGGATGGATGTCACAGACGCATGTCTTGGGCTGCAAGGCTGACCCCGTGGCTAGGTCCTTCCACATCTCCTGTGATGAACCCCGTTGGGGTGGTCTCTAACCCCTCTCCCCCATCTCTTCCCAGGTGGCCGATGCTGGCGCTACATGGGTTCCACCTTGGAGGCAGGTTTCCCCCAGAAATGCAGCGCCCGCGGCCTCCCGCGGCACCCCGACACCGCGCTCTACTTCCAGCAGCTCCGGCGCCTGGTCCTCTTCAAAGGACCCAAGTACTTCGTGGTGAGCGAGGAGACCCTCGGCGTGGAGCCCTACTACCCCCGCAGCCTGCGGGACTGGGAGGGATTGCCCCCCGGCACGACGGGAGCCCTCACCCACCGCGACGGCTTCGTCTACTTCTTTCGGGATGACCAGTACTGGAAATTCGACCGGGCGAAGCTCCAAGTGGTGGCCACCGGCAAATGGGCCACCCAACTGCCCTGGATGGGCTGCTGGGATGCAAACGGTGGGCAGGACCTCTTCTGAGCAGAGCGTGCTGGGATAAAACGGGGGTGGGCTGAAGCCCACCTTGCTTGTGCTGCCCAGATCCACCTTTCATTGACTCTGGATTCCTCTCTGGGGACAGTTTGGGCAGGGACCAGAAGGTCAGAGCTGCCTGCAGGTGACCAGAGCCATGGGTTGGTGGAGCGATGCCCCAGAGCAGCAGGGATGCAGGATGGGGCAACCATCAGCCCAGGTGGGTCTGTCACAGCCAGGTGGGCTGGAAGCTTGGGGAGAAACTATTTTTTTAAAAAAGACCACAAAAAAAAAAGAGGTGTAAGCCGTGGAGACAGTGGAGGCACCTCTTTCTGTTGAAGTTCAGGATAATTTTACACATTTTTTTTTCAGAGACTGGGGTTTGTTGATACTTTAGCTGTTTTTTTCCCCACGATGCCTCACCGTGCTGGATCTGAGGCTTGGGTGGTTTTAAATAAGAGACTGAGGATGTTTTCTGGTTAAAACAAAAAGAAAAAAGACATTTGGACAAAAATAGGGGTCTGTGTTGAACTTGGGTCTCTCTCCTGCCTCCTCCCAGGGATGGAGGGTTGGCACCTTGAGAAGCTCATCACCTATGGGTGCTTTACTGGGCTGCATCCACATCCCAGCTCCCTGGTGAGGCACCAGCTGGAGACACCAGCACCATGGGATTTTGGGGGAGAAAGCAGAGAATTTTGGTCCAGGAGCCTCTATGGAGTGAAGGGAGTGGGGAGGAAAAGCTGAGCTGCTGACCGCGTCGCTGTGCGATGGTGTTGCACAGGTCGAGGGCAGCAGGAGCATCACAGCTTGGCTTTCTGATGCGTTTGGGATGGCTGGGTGGATTCTCTGGTGTCTAATAAGGGCTGTGCTCACCTGGCAGAAAGTGTCTGTCCTCTGCTCTGTCTCTGCAAGTGATGGGATCAATGTATTTTGGAGTCTGCCACAGTTGGGTGAACTGGGTTGAAAAATCACTGGGGGAGGAGGGGGAGAAGAGCAGGCGAGCAGGACAGGTGGACGTGTCCGTGCATGCAGGCTCGCAAGGACAGCTCGGCTGCATAGTCCTCATTCCTTTCCCAAAGCAAGCTCCCCACCTCGAAACGCCGCTGGCTCCTGCGCACCGAGTCACCGGTCACCTCTGCCAAGAGCCATCGTCTCCCACAGCCAGTGGGGGAACATCAGGGCTGAGCAAGAGGCCTCAGCTTTCTTAAAACGTCCTTGGATTTGAGAGTTTTGGGGGATTTTCACCACGCTGGGGTTGTCTGGGCGTGGGGTGCTGCTTTGCTGATGGTTCTCCCAGGACTCAGATCCCAGTCCTGGGTGCCCTGCTTCGGGTCGGTGGCTTTGGCACCGGGCTGGGTGCTGTGCCAAGAGCCAACTCGGGTGGTTCTGTCCATTTTCCATGATACTTGTGAGTGAGCCCTTCCTGCACAGACACAGACATGGAGACATCATCTGCTGGTGGCTTAAAATCTCAGGGGCTTTTAGGTGTTACCAAAGAGACAGAGCCACATCATTTTCATTTTTAATTGAATGATAATAAGGCTTCCAGGGAGTCCCAAGGGCTTGGAGACCTGGTGGCAAATAAAACAAACCTCTGGATATGCCATGTTGGGATTTCTGCTTATTTTCACATCACACTTTTGTATTATTTTTATTTTAAAGCCAATCTCGTGTTTAAAGCCAATCTCCTGAAAGGGGCAAAGAGTCCCTCCCCAGCTCTTCTATAGGCACCCTTCAGATATTGGAAGGCTGCTATAAGGTCTCCCCGGAGCCTTCTCTTCTCCAGGCTGAACAATCCCAGTTCCCTCAGCCTGTCTTCATAGGAGAGGTGCTCCATCCCTCTGATCATCATCTGACCCTCTGAGAATGGTCAGAAGAGCGTGTGATGGCTGGTCCATCTAATACTTTTTGGAGATGGGAGGATTTAAGGCTCTATCTATACCTCAGGGGTTCAACTCTGCAGAGAGGCAGCAGGTCTTTATCCCCTTTTGTGTCCCCTTAGGAGAGAGCTGGGCATCCCTTCTGGAGGGTAAGGGTGGGACGACCTTGAATCCTCTCCCATTTTTGTGTTTTCCTCCCTTGTGACCACGCTGTGTCACCTGCACCCCACAAGTGTGGGGGGACCTGGGGAAGATGGACTCGCACTCTGAGCCATGTGATCGGCCCCACTGGGTGCTGCAGCTGAAAATCCTGTGTCACAAGGATGCCTTTCTCCCGCTGGGCTCCCTGGCAGGGCATGCCAGGCACAGACTCCTCCAGCCAGCCTGCCAGGCATTCCCCAGCCTGGGGGAATAGCTGGGATTCTTGCGTTTCCTCCCCCAAAATGACACTGGCTGGACTGTGACCTGCAGCGAGCATCAGCAGCTGGCTCCAGGGAAAGGACGGGGTCTCCCCAAACAGCAAGAAGCCCTCCAGGCCCAGGAGAAGCTCTGTTTCAGTCCCATGGTGTGGGCATGTCCCTGGTAGATTTGCTTTTTTGTAGAAGTACCTGGGTGCTGGGGCAGCTCTCTGAGCCCTGGGTTAGGGAGGGAGCCTCCAACATTCCCAGCAGTGCCCACTCACCCGGGTAGTTATTTTCTTAAAGCCCCAGCTCCTGAAGTCCCACCATCCATGGAGGAGCTTGGCTTTTTCCAAAGACCTCACTGTTGTGCACAGTTTGGTAAGAAGTTTGCAAGGGAGCATGGTGCAGAAAACCCCACAGGTGAGCATACAAACAAACCCCCCCCATCCTTATTTCATTTTTTTTTTTCAGAAAGAGGTTTGGGGGAGAGGATTGATGGGTTTGTTCTGAGATTTGCAGGTACAGCTCCTACAATTCCTCGGAGCTTGGGCTGAGCCCTGACACAGTGCACAGCCCAGGGCTTCCCAGCTCCCAGTAAGGGGGGGAACAAGCCCTCGAGCGAAGGGGGCTCCCAGCGTGTTTGGGCTTGCAATGGCACACAGTGGCATCTCAGCCGAGTGTCTGAGCCTGTAAAATGGGTGCAAAAATGTGGCTGTCTCTGGGTGATAAATTCAGGGGTACCAGGTCCTGAACATGCACCTTGTAGGGCTCCCAGGTGACCCCACCTGCGGTGGAGGTGGGTGCAGGGATGGCAGAGAAGGGACAAATCCCCCCTTTTTCAGGGCTGTGAGTTACTTAGGATGCCAAAGAGCTGCTTTCTAACCCCCTCCTGACCCAGAGCCAGGGATCTTGGGGGAGAAAATCCACCCCTAAGGAGTCTGGGGAGGAAGGAGCAGGGCTGCTGGCAGAGGAGAAGGTGCTGAAGGGTTAATGGGGAGTGTTTGCAGCCGGTCCCTTGTCACCAAGGAGAAGGGAACAGCACTTGGGAAGGAAACAAAACACCCACTGCCCAGGAGGGTCATTTCCTTTCCCCAGGCTGCCTTACAGCCCTTGGATCTCAAGAAGGGCTCCCCGGAGGACAGTGTCACCATCCCGGGTGACGGAGAGCAAGTGGCACCGGGTGAGTGTGGCTGTTGGGGAGGTCAGCTGGGGACACAGCCCAGGGCAGGTCCCAATGTCCCCACCACCCTTGTCCCCATCACCACTTTCCCTTGGTCTCCTCCCCAGTCTTATGGCAAAATGTGGGGGACACCAGGCGCTGGGGTGCGGAGCATCCGTCCCTACCGGTCCAGCGAGCAGTACCTCTACGCCATGAAGGAGGACTTGGCCGAGTGGTTGAAGGAGCTGTACGACCTGGACATCGAGGTGGGCACCTTCTTGGAGGTGCTGGAGACGGGGGCCGTGCTCTGTTCCCACGCCAACAATGTCACCCACGTGGCCGAGGAGTTTGCCCGTGCCTGTCCCGGGGTGGCCCACCACCTCCACCTGCCCACCACCGGTGTCACCTGCAACCCCGCGGCACAACCGGGCACCTTCCAGGCCAGGGACAATGTCTCCAACTTCATCCAGTGGTGCAGGAAGGAGATGGGTATTAAAGGTAAGAAGATGCCAGGCTCCAGCTGTCCCATGTCCCTGCGTGCAATGCCCCTCCAACTGCTCCTGGCATCACCCCAGGGTTTTTCCCATGTCCCCCAAAGCCAGTGCCACCCCAGCATCAGGCAGCACCGTGCGCATGTGTCCCTGAGATGGCATTTCTTGCACAAGTTCCTCCAGGCTCGGCAGCAGCTTTGCAGGGCACTGGCACCCCATGGGTGTGTTTGCTTGGGTGCAAATATGCGCTGGGGGGGTGGAAATGGAAAGGGCATATGCTGCAGCATGGCCCTGGTCTCAGCACGGCATGATCCCATCAGTAAGGACATCAGGAGTGGTCCTGGCTCTGAGCAAAGAGTCGGTCACCCTGACCCTCCACCACCACCAGAGGATGCCCAGGAAGGACATGGGTATGGAGTGACGCCTCCTCAGTGCACCCAACCACTGGGGTTTGAGAGTTGGGATGCCATGAAACAGCCTTTCCTTGTAGATGCCCAAGAGGAAGGCTCTTCCTCTGTGAATCTATCCCAACCTTTGTTGGAACCAGCCATATTCCTAGCGGGATGGCTCCAGGGAATAACATCCCTTCCAGTGGGTTTTGATTCCACCAGTGCCCCCCGTCCTTTTGTCCCTGTCCCCACGTACCTGCCCTGTCTGAGTCCACCCTTGCCCTGCCCCAGACGTCCTAATGTTCGAGACAGAGGACCTGGTGCTGAGGAAGAACGAGAAGAACTTCGTGCTGTGCCTGCTGGAGCTGGCACGCCGCGCTGCCCGTTTCGGCATGAGCGCCCCGACCCTCGTGCAGATGGAGGAGGAGATCGAGGAGGAGCTCCGCCAGGAGCTGGACCTGCCTCCCGCAGACAGCCCCCTGCCCCAGCACCCCAGGAAACCACGGGACCTCCACAACCTTGACCAGATGGTATGGATGGGTATGGAGCAGGATGGGGATGGGTATGAAGATGGACATGGCCAACCCAGGACCCTTCCCAGGAGCTCTGGTGAGGACCCATTCCTGCTGCCCACAGGTCCAGCACCTGGTCAGCCGCTGTACCTGCCCCGTCCAGTTCCCAATGATCAAGATATCCGAAGGGAAATACCGTGTGGGTGACTCCGACACCCTCATCTTTGTCCGTGTGAGTCCGCTTCACCCCGTGCTTTTGGGGCACAGGCACCCTGCTTTGCTCCCACAAAGTCTTTTCCGTAATCTGTCCCCAAAATGGGGCCAATGTGGGGTTTTTGACCTGCCCAAAGCAGGGAAGCTCAGCCCTGTGGTATGTGCTTGCTTGGATGTAACCACCCATGGCTACAGGACAAACCCTGCTGTCCCACACCAAGGGGGATGGGTGTCATCACCCAGCACTGGGATGCTCTGTCCCTGCCTGGCTCCCTCCCTAAGCCTGGCCTTCCCGAAGGGCTCAGCACGTGATGGAGGAGAGGACTTTTCCCAAAAGGCTCTCCCTGGCTCCTTGGGGTGATGAGACATGTTGGGATGGCAGCAGGAGCTGGGGCCCTCCCTGCCTTGGTGGGGCTGATCTGGGGATGAAGCTGTCCTTTGGGAGCCCTGGTGGCACTTAGGGCAAGCCCGTGGCTCTTGAGCAGCAAAAGATGAAGCCTGGCTGAACGTGCCACCCCCAGGCTGCTTAAAATGGAAGGGAAGGGGGGGTGTCCCATGAATGCATTGCATGCATCTCTCTGGACCTCATGGCATGTGGCATCCCGTGCAGATCCTGCGGGAGCACGTCATGGTGCGGGTCGGGGGCGGCTGGGACACGCTGGAGCACTACCTGGACAAGCACGACCCGTGTCGCTGCACCTCGCTCTGTGAGTCCCCGTGTCCCCAAAACCCATTGCTCTGCCCCGTGGCTGGGGTTGGGGGGGGTGTCCATCCTGGGTCTCGCTGCTTCTGGGGCCGTTTGCAGGAGAGGGAAGCCACGTTACTGCAAAGCCTCGTTGCTTTGCTGGGGAATGTCTGGTTTGGGGACTCTCCTTGGCTTTGGTGGCCACTAGAGGTCATGGCAGACTTTTGGATGGAGCTGAACCCCAAAAGCTTCTTTGCAGGGACTGCAGGTTTGCACCAAGCATCCCTGGGGGGGGGTCTGCATGGTGAGCCATGGCTGGGTGGGCTGCACTGGGGGCGTGGGTGCAATGGATGGGGGTGCTGACCCCCACTTTTCCCCACAGCTCACAAACAAGCCTTGAAAACCAGGAGCCCCCAGCAGCAAGTGCAGCACGAGGTCCGGCTCTGCCCAGCCTCCAAGGCAGCCACCCGTGGCCAGCCCCAGCCCGCGCTGCTGGTCAGCCGCTCGCAGAGCCCCCTGCCCCCCGTCACCTGGGGGTCCCGTGTCCCCCGGTCCCCTGCCACCCCCTTGCCAGAGGGCTCAGGTCGCCCACCAGGTACCAGCCCTCACCAGGAGCCCCGGAGGGTCCCTTCGGGCAGGTAAGTGGTGCAGAGATGCTTCGTGCCCCAAACTGCCTGGTTTCAGAGCAAGTTTTCTCCCATCCCTGATTTTTTTCCCTCCCTTCTGGAGCTGCCCAGGCTGGATGGAGGTGGGGGGGACACACAGTGGCTCCCTGGCCCCTCTCTCCTCTTTCTCCTTGCAGGACACGGGAGCCACGGGCCACCCCTTCAGGGATGAGGCCACCACCATCCAGGTCACCTGCTCGACCCAGCTCCCCTGGCCGCACTTGTGGGGTGACATGCCGGGCACCCACCCCTTCCCGGCTGGCCCCCGGCACAGGGGACAGCGTGGGGGTCCCCAAGGCACTGCGTGTGAGCACCCCAGGGAAAACCCCCACGGCACCGGCACGGGGCAGGCCCACGGCACCTGGCACCGGGGTGGCATCAGCACCTCCAAAAAACACCCAGCAAGGAAGCAAACCATCCGTGGCAGCTGCCAGGGGGCAGGAAAAGGGGGTCCCCACCGTGATGGCATCCCGTGCCCCCAGCCTCAGCAAGGTCTGTGCCCCCTGCCCACACCGGGACACCCGGGGAGACTCACAGAGCAGGAAAAGCTCACGGGAAGGGAGCCAGGGAGCCCTTGGCCGAGGTCAACCACTGTCACCCCAAAATTCCTCCAGCCAGACTCCGAAACAGGACAGCAGTGTTAAACCCCCCACCAAAACCAGCCCGGCTGTCTGCCGGCCCCCCACCCCTTCGGCTCACTTTGCAAATGGATGCAAGAGCTGTGCTGCTGGGAGGGGTCCCCAGGTGACCCAGCGGTGCCACCGGGCTACTAGCCCACGGGCTAGGGATGCTGAGGGGCCCGGGGTGCCAGGGGATGAGGCGGGGGAAGCCTGTGACCCCGGTGGGGGGAGGGAGGGTCTGCGGGAGTGCTGGGAGCACACACAGCCCCCCGGCTATGACAAGGTGGTGGAGGAGCTCTCCCGTGGGGGGCACCCCCTGCGCCCCGTGGGGCTGGGGAGCTGGGTCCCCAAAACACCCCCACGAGCCACTCCACAGCCCACCGCCCTCCCAGCCGGGGGGGAGGCTGAAGGGCTGGGAGTTGGGGGCCAGACCCCTCAGGGACCCAGGGCCAGCAACGTCCCCAAGCCCCGGCGGTGCCTGAAGAAGCCCGAACGCGTGCCTTCCATCTACAAGCTGAAGCTGCGGCCCAAGGTGCGTCCCCGGCGGGACCACCGGCCCGGCAAGCGCCCCTCACGTATCCCCACCCCGCTGGGGCACCGCCTGTTTGCCCCCCGGGGCCAGCATCGCCCCCCAGCACCCCCCCGGCAGCCCCAGCCTGGTGGCACGCACCCGGGCACCAAGCCCTCCCCAGCCAACAGCGGCGCCTGGCTGACCGAGGATGATGAGGAGGAGGCATGGGTCTGACCCCCCACCCCTCACACCTTGGGATTTGTAGGGGACTGACCCCTCGCTCGTCCAAAGGTGGGAGAGATGCTGAAGCTGGAGCTTTGGTGCCCACGGGCAACCTGCTGGATTTGCCCCCAGGTGACTCTGGGGGTCCCCCGTTGCTCTTCAGAGCTGCTCACCCCCCCTTCCTAGTGGGCTGGATTTTTTGGACTTGTAATTCTTCTCCAAAACAGGTGCTTTCGTACTGATTTGGGTGGAAAAATGGAGAGAATGGGGCACCTTCTGCAGGGAAGAGGGCTGTAGCCAGCCCCTACAGTGTGCCCCTAAAGAGGGGACACGCCACACCTGGCATCCAAGGGTGCAAGCCAGCTGGTACCTCAGTCTTCCCCATCTGTACCGTGGGACTAATGATCCTCGTGTCTTACAGCACCGAGAGCCTTAATGAGCGTTTGAGTCACTCAGGTCGGGGGGTGTCACAGGAGGTGACCCCCCTGTGGGCTTCCTTATGGGTGAAGGTGGGAGACCTGGGGAGGGGGGTGGTCTCCTTGGCGGTGATGGTCAGGGTGATGGCTGTCCCCAAGGCTTCTCACAGCCACGGACCCAGCAATATTGTTTGTGCAATAGAGATGTGCCAAAACTCTTCTGTTTCAGCATCGTTTCTGGGTGGGTGGGGAGGGGGGAGAGGATAATCCTGGTGGTGGGGTCACGGCTGGTGAAGGGAATTTGTGTTGCCGGTCTGCTGCCCCTGGGCATGGCCAACGTCCCCCCCAGAGAGCCCCGGGGGGACCAGAGGAGCCCCATCGTCCAAGAAAGGATGAAGCTGGATACACACTCCCGCAAAGGTGAGCGCTGGATGCAAAACCTGCTTTAAAAAATACTCCTTTTGCAGGGGAGAAACAAATTCCCCCCTTCCCGAAGCACCGAGGGGCTGTGGCAGTGGGGTGGTGAGCGATCCGGCCCCACGGGCAAAGAGCAGCGAGGCGGGTACGGAACAAGGAGGGACAGACCTGATTTTTAATTGGATTTCAAAGAAGGGGGTGCAGGGCGGTACAGGCGGGTGTAGACACCTGGGGAATCTCCGACAAGAAGTCCAGTGGGGAAAAGAAAGCCAAGTCCAGGCAACCAGGACGCTCACCGGGGGCAGGAGGAGGAGGAGAGGGAAGCATCCTCGCCGGGGCTGGACCGAACCCAGGCATCACCTCCTGTGGCACCACACACACGGGGGCAGAAACCCAGTGCTGCCCTGGGGACAGCGGTGGGGACATCCTCATCCTCTCCCAGGGTGAGGAGCGGGGTGTTTTCAGCAGGACCAGGGCGGCGTTGGGCGAGCGGTAACACTTTGTACTAAGGGTGAGGGCAAGGGGTGGGTTGGAGGCAGCTGCTGTTGTGCTCCTGGCTGCCCTGATCCCACCATTCCTGGCCACTCTCCGGACATCCCTGCCCCATTTTCCCTGCCCGGCACCACCTGCCCCCCTCCTGGGCTCTGGGGAAAGGAGCTCTTTGTAGCCCTCATTTTCTGGGGAGCTGGGAAATGCTGTCGAAGCAGTGAGAGTTATTATTACTAATATAACTTTCTCTGTCTATAAAGTGCAATAGAATATAACAATTATATTTATAACCTTTGTTGGTTTTTGTTTTTTTTTTTTTTTTTCAAAATACTAAATAGATGCTATAAAAACCTGTAACTAATTGTGCTATAAACTGCAGGCTACAGGGTTATAACAAACAATGTATTGGCTTAGTCGTTGATATGTGTACGTCGGAGCACTTTATAAATGCTTTATTATTAGCATTTACCAAGGACTTTCCTTCTCAAACAATTTGGAGGGATAAAGCTAGCCAGAGACCGATAACGTGGACTTACACGTGTTAATAAATCCTGACGAGATGAGGTCGGGGAGGGGGGAGGCTGGTGGCAAAGCCCGGTGTGTTTGCCGTGAAGGCGAGGGACAGTGACAAGTGCCACCACCCTTCCCTGGTCGGGGGTCTCACAGCCACCTGAGACAGACCCATGTCCCCCCAGTGACTTTTATCTTTTTAATTTTTTTTCCTTTTTCTTTGTAGTGGGGAGCAAGAGGAATGGGGTTTGGTGACCCCCTCACCCCCAGCATTGGGGCTGCCGGGCAGCGCATGGCCCCAGGGGCAGGGATGGGGTGGTGAGATGCACCGTGTCCGAGCTCAGCTGGATCTGGGCTTAATAGAAAGTGTTCCCAGGAGCAGAGCGGGGCTGCTGGCAGGTGGAAACCCTGGCTGTGGGGGAAGAGACGGGTCTCCCTTCGCTTTACTCCCCACCTCCCCTCCTTACACCAGAAATCACTGAGATGGTTTGGCCCCGGAGGATGGACCGGCTTCAGATCCTGCCTCAGGGGGTGAGGATGGTGTTTCCCCGTGTCTCACGGGGAGCAGCCAAGAAGGAGGAACCACAACCCCCCCCGGTCTTCTCAACTGTGCCCATCGCCAGCACATTGCCCCCAACACCCTTCACTAACTCTTTGCCACTCGCCCTGCAGGGCAAGATGTGAGCAAGCTGGAATCTGGTGTAAAAATGAGCTGAAAGGTCGAAAAAGAATATATAAAAAAAAAATGGGGGGGGGGGGGTCATTTTCCTAGGGATGTGCAGAGAGAGAAAAATTAAAAAAAAATAACAAAAAGAAAGGAATGCAACTGGAAATGCAACTCCAGCTCCCTATTGCTTTGGAGGCTGCTCACGAGGATGGGGGCGAGCATCGTGTGGGAAAGCCTGGGGGGGGTCAGACCCATCTCGTGGCACCACTGGTGGCACAGGGGACACCTCCTGCCCCTTTGGGGGATGTTGGGGTTTGGGTCAGAGCTGTGCAAAAGCCGGTTGCCCGCTGAGCCCGGGACACGAGGTAGCGGAGGGGTGACCTGCCCGGCGAGGAGAGTTTCCAGATTATTTGGTGTTGGACAGGCTGGTAGGGGAGGAGAAGCCTTCCTTGGCAGAAGGGGGACTCAAAGCCCAGGGGAGGCAGCACCCGGCCCCCTGGGGGGGTGTCAGGTGCAGGATGGGATCTTAATTTTTTTTTTTTTTCCCCCTTTCTTACTTTCATCCAGAAATTCTGCCTGGAAATCTGGCCCAATGGAGCCAAAAGAGGGCCCGTGTATCCTGGTCTCTTACCAGAGGCTGCTCTGCCCTCCAAGAGGAGAAACCCCGGCTCCACCAGGAGGAAAATGGGCCTCCCAGCTCCACCGTGTCCCAAGGATGGAGCCACCTCTGTCACCTCAGGACACGGGTGCTGGACAATTTTCTTCTGAGGGGCAGGTGATGGCAGGCAGCAGTTGGCATCACCCCTGCGATGCCAGGGTGGGAGCTGGCAAGGATGGACCCAACAGCCAACCTCTGGGCACCATCCCAGGTGGCTCCTTCACCCTCTGATGCCACGCAGTGTTTCAGGCACAGTGGAGACACATTTCCCCCCTGGGACATCTATTCTATGTCCCTGAGCACCAGAGGCTCAGGGAGGGCTCGGGGGTTCAGCCAAGGTCCTCCCTCACCCCTCACTACCTCCAGGCAGCCTGGCTGTATGCCCACTCCGACCCACCGATGGCCACCGCATCACCCTGCCCAGCACCTCCCAAGGTGCAGCGTCCCCAAATGTCACCACAGGGTGCCAGCGCTGGCGGGGAAGCAAACCCCAAGGTGCCTCTGGCACAGCTCCTACCGCAGCATCACCCACCCCCAGAGAACAACGATGCTGGGAGTCGTGGTCCCCAAGGAGGGGCACAGCTGGGGGGTCCGTCGGGGCAAAGGGGCTCACATGATGGTGCATCGGTTCCTGCGCAGGGCGCCCTGGAAGCGGATGGTGGTGTGGACGTGCTTGCAGCGGGCGCAGCCCACGCTCTTCAGGAGCTCGCTGAAGAGCAGCAGGATGTGCCAGTTGTACTTGGCCGAGCACTCGATGTAGCCACACTTCCACGTCTTCTTCACCAGGTTGGAGACGTTCCAGCGTGGGATCACCCGGCCCCGCTGCAGGTCCCGCTTGTTGCCCACGATGATGATGGGTGTCTCCGAAGTGCCGATGACCCTGGGGAGGAAGGACAGCGAGGAAGGACAGAAGGGGACACAGCAATGATGGACCTGCCCATGGACCCCAACCCAACCCACGCTGGCTCTTGGCTTTGGCTTTCCAAAAGGGACGCATCTCCTCGTGGTCTGTCCTCTTGTCCCTCTTGGTGGCCAGCCACCCGCTCTGCCAGCCCCAGTTGCTTCACTGGGGATGGCTGCCCTCGCCCACAGGGGATACCTGCCCTAGGTCCTGCTCCTTCTCCTGCCCTCAGGTCCAGTTTTGCTTTTGGTTTTGGGCTTCCAGCCCTACAAAGGGGCTTTTCCCCAGTCTCTAATATCTCATCTCTGATGCCAAGAGCAGGGGAGCACTGGGGCGAGCTGTACCACCCCACTGGGAGCCCCACGGGATGCACCCACTGACAAAGAGGTCCCTACCTCGTTTCCAGGATCTGCTGGCGGATGGTTTTGATGTACTCGAAGCTGTCAAAGCAACAGATGTCATAGACCAGGATGTAGGCATGGACGCTCCGGAGCCCCCTGCAACACACGTCCGCCCACTCCTGCAAGGTGCAGAGAGGGATCAATCCTGGCTCAGCCCCCCTGTGCTGTGCCTGGGGGATGCCCCTCACTGTTTCAGGGCCGGGCACGCCGAGGATGCTGCTACACCGGGGGGTAGCAAGGGGGCTGCAGGCTCTCCAGCCCTGACACCCAGCACCCAGCTCACCTCTGCTCTGCCCCAAGCCAGGATGCCCCAAGCCATCCCTGCGACTGCTGTGAGTACCCCCTGCAGCCCTTCAGCCACCTTCCCCCCCATCTCCGGAGATCCCTTCTCCCCCCTCGTTAATCCAGAGGAGAGATAACGGGATTTGTCAGCCCCAATTCCTCTCCTGAGGGAGGATTACAGCCTGCCTAATACACAGCGGCCCGGGGGAGAGCCGGGAGCAGGGCTGAATGCAACCCCCTGCCCTGGATGTAAAAGCTTCAGCCTCCAGAGCTACTAATTAGGTGTGTTAATTAGTGACGCACCCTGGTTTTCGGGCAGGGTGGGTGAGGAGGATGCTGAGGGTTGAGCGGGACTCAGCCCAGCCCTGGCTCCATGGGGCTGGAGGTGATGGGCCAGCAGCTCCATGGGGCAGAGGGGGAAGGTGACAGCAGGGCTCTTTGGAGGGGACATGGGGACAGGACAGAAGCTGCTCGGGAGAGGGTTCTGTGAGAGTGAGATCAGGAGCCAGGGCAGAAGCCGTCAGGGATGGTCTCTCCATAGCCAAAATTTGGAGCTGGAAGAAATAGACGTTGTTAGGAATGCTTGGGGCTTCCAGAAATCACAGGATTATTTTTTTTTGTATTTTTTTTTCATGCTGTAGGAGTAAAAATCCATCCCACTTCCAGATGTTTTCCCAGCCCAGCAGTGGTACCGAGGCTGCAGTGACACAGGGAAGGGCAGCCCGTGCAGGCGGCACCACAAACCCTCCGGGGTGCCACTGGAGAGGAGGAAGGTGCACCAGGGAGGAAAGGCATCACTTCTCCCTGAGCAAACCTCTTCAGTACCATGAATCATCCTTCTCTGAGGTTATCACTGGAATAAGGCAAAAGAAGAAGACCTAGGACGGAAGGAAACTGGGAAAAGGAAAGTTCTGGGGTGCTCATCTCCATCGCAGCGAGCGGCATGGGAAGGAGCTGGGAGTGAGTGGTACCACACAGGCTACGGAGGGGAGGGGATGATGTGCTCCTCGGTGTCAGAGCTGCAGGAGGATGAAGCAGCAGCATCTCAGGTTACTCTGAGTCCTGATCCACCCGGGAGATAAATAAATTGCTGCTCTTTCACCACGCTGGGGTGCAGCTTGCTGTGGCACTGGGACATCGGGACAGTTTTCCCCACACGGGCGCAGGTTTCCTGGGATGCTCGGGGCTGGAGGAAGGTTTTGCTGCACATCCCACCCGACCCCATGCAGGAGTGGGACATCACGGAGCTGCCAGCCCCTGCTGCTCCCCCAGGCATCACCACAAGGATGCTGCTCCCAGGCACGGGGCAGAGCCCAGTGATGCTTCCCAGGGGACAAAGCTTTATCCCCCACCGCGGTCCTCTCCTCTCCCCTCGGAGCCATCCCTCCGACCATCCTCTTTTCCCTGGAAACCTCCAACTGTTCCCACTGGCCACCTCCTCTTGAGCGCAGGGAGTTAATGGAGTGTGTTAGCGTCGGCTGCCGTGTCAATAAATTACCCTTTGCTATTTCGGGCTGTCTCTCACACTGACCTTTCGTTCTCTGCACACGCCGATTAATTTTTAAACCTCCTCCTCGCCCCCAGAGCGCTCACTTCTCCTCCTGCCCGACGGCCCAGGGGACACCTGGAGCACTACAAGGCCCCTATAACCCTGTCCCTGCGGGGTGTGGAAGCAATATAATTATCTTGATTAAAAATGGAAGAGCCCAGCCCCAGGGAGGTGCTGCCGTGGGTCACATTCCCCTCCAGCGTGGCTGTGGCCATGGCTGGGCACCTCTGGCTCCTGTGCCGTGGTGGCACAACTTGTGCCCCTGGGGTGGAGCCACGGCACAAACTTAAAATCCTCTTTTTCCCCATTAAAACCCCCTGAAGAGGTCGGCGCTGATGGCAAGACTTTCCAACCCCACGCTGCCTTTTGGGGATGCTTTGGAAGCACCTGAGAGGAGAGGGTGGGCTCAGCGCTCCAGGGACAAGCCCAGGTGATGCTGGGGAAGGTGATGGCCACCCAGGGAGGGGATGAGCAGCCCCACTCCACCTGGCCTGGGTAGTGAGTGCTGTCTCTCCAGGAACCCCTGGTTTTCACCCGAATGCTTTGGCCACGCTCCCCCAGCCCTTTGCTGGCCCCAGTTTTAACAGTGATGGAACCGAATCCCAGTGCTGGGGGACACACCGCCCAGCTGGGCAGATCTGTGGGCATCACTGGAGCCACAGTCCTTGAAGTGGGACACCGTCCCTCTCATGTTGACCATTCTTTTAGGTCAAAAAGCTTTAAAAGATACTTTATCCTGGCCCTGCTCAGCTGGTACCATGAGGATGTGGTCTCTCACATCAGGTTTTAGCAAGCAAACCCTGACGTGGAAGGAGAAGCACCCTGAGAAGAGGAGGAACTGGGACCCCACAGAGTTTTAGAGCGAAACCCCACCACCGTGACCAGAGACAACCCCCCCACCACCCCCCCAACGTGGGGGTCCCATCACACCAAGCCGGGTGCACCCCTACCTGCAGGGTGTTGACGGGGAAGGCGGTGATGGGGGGAAAGTCCATGATCTGCAGGTCGTGGACGTGGCCGTTCATGACGACGGCGGGCAGGTAGACGCGGCGGGCCGTGGTGGGCACGCAGACCTCGCTGAACTCGTTGTAGAGGAACTGGCGGACTATGGCGCTCTTGCCCACGCCCTGGGCTCCCAGCACGGCGATCTTGAACGTTGCCACCATGCCGTCGCACGCCGGCCGCTGCCCTGCTGCTGCCCCCCCGGCGCCGAGGCTGCATATTCCCGAGCAGGGGGCCTCAGCCCCATTCAGGATGCATTTCCCCTCCGGGACAGCCCGTCACTGCAAGGCCAAGGAGAAGCTGGTCAGATCCTGGAGACACCCCAGCAGACCCCACTGTTGCTTCAAGAAGTGTTTTTCCAAGCAGGAGCCCGTGGATAAAAGTGATGTTTGCCCTCAGGCAGTAGGAGCATCCCTGAGGGCTGGGAGACACCCCCGGGGGGGGACCTCAGCGCTGCGAGACCCCCAGGGTGTCCCTGAGAAGCTCCCACTCTGCAGAGCCAAGGATTTGAGCAAACTTCATCCCAGGAAGGTTCTCAGAGGCACATTCAGCCCTTTGGGTACCAGAGCAAGGAAACCTCCAGGAAAGGGACTGTCTGCAGCTCCGGGTCTGCCCAGCCCTGGCAGGAGCAGGGTCCCAGGCCGTGCTGGGGACTTGTTCCTCACCATCCACAGGGACTGTCACCAGCTGCTCCATCCCAGTGCTGCCCCAAGACAGGGAATCCATCTTTCCTCTGCTTGGACAGCCAGAATTGCCTTTTTCTGGGGTGGGCAGGGAGGTGGGGGGGACGGGGAGAGTTGCTCTGTGCCTGCGAGAAACAGCTTTAATGTTTAATTTCAGGCTTTGAGCGGTTTGGCAATTAACTTGATGGAGGCTAATTTCCAAGCCAGCTGACGGGGTGAGCCCACAAGCTGCTGGCACATGTGGTGAGGCCAGAGGGGCCCCGGGGCTGGGCCGTGCGTGCAGGGGGACACGGGGTGACAACCCACACACGAGGATGCGGGAGCCGAGTCCGAGGAGCCCAAACACCCCCTGGCAGAGGGGTCCTGACTGGGAGCTGCGATGGAAACAGGGAGGGTGATGGGCTGGGTCCCACTTCTGCTCCCTCCCACTGCTAGGAAGTGGCTTGAGCTTCATCCCAAAGTGTAGATGTTTTCACCAATTTGTGATGCTCTGGTCCGTTTTCCCTGAAAACCATCCCCAAAGCACAGGGCAGCGCTCCCTGAGCCGGCAGAAAGTGGTGGGTTCAAACCACCCTGTCCTGCCTGCTTTGATGGGCTTTATTTGCCCCCAGGAGAGCTTGGCCATGGAGGTCCCTGCTGCAGGATGCTGTGGAGGCCGGGCTTCACGCAGTCTCCCAGGCTGGCCCATGGCTCACACCATCCTCATCCTCCTCACACTGGGGCTGGGGGCCTTCAGCAAGGCCTGATCCGGCCCCAAGGGCTGCAGGGACGGTTTGTGGCCAGGACTGAGGGACATGGGACAATCTGACTGCCCCTGGGGACCTGCTTGCCCCAGGAGCGTTTCTGTGCCACACACAGGGAAACGGGGGGGTGCAGGAGCCCCCACACCCGGTCCTACCAGGGCCTTTCTCCACCAGCAGCAAGCACTGTCATCACAAGTCCCAGGGGCCACTCTGCTGCAGGGACAACCCTGTCCCCCCCAAAACCCTTCTTCCTTGCGGAAATAACCCCAGCTCCTCTGTGGGGCTGGGGGGTGACACGGCCGGACACCCAGCACCCATGGGGCCGCCCTGAACGGCGGAGCGGGCTGAGCCCTGCCGTGTCACCCCAAAAAACCCAGTCCCCCTCCAGGCTGGCACACGGGGACCGCGCACGGGCCCCAGAAAGTGGGCTCACACCCTGAAGCATCTCAGAGGCCACCCTGATGGCTCCCAGCCCCACGGGCATCTCCCCCCAGCATGTCACCGGGGGAAACTGAGGCGCAGAGCGGGGATGCAGCCGGGGTGGCCCCACGGTGGGGTGGCAGAGGGGGGACAAGCCCGGGGGGGGTGG